AGAATATATCGCATACATTCAGAGGTCGACAAAGATTTTGAAGGCGAAATCAAGAAGATGGGGTAAATTCCTCTGGAGTTAAAGAGGCGATTAATCTTGAAAAAACCAATCAGATTTAAAGATAAGGCAGAAGTAAGACGACCAAATTGGTCCGAGAGGCATACACCGATTTTGACAAAGACACTTAGTCGTCGTAATTGGCAATGAGTGACCTTAAGTCAGTCAATCAGACGTCGAGATGGGGGAGAAGTAGTACTACGAACACACCATATTTGATAAAAATAGAAACATTTTTCAGTCTTAAAGTGTATACTGATGAGTGACCTAAAAATGGACTAGAAATGAAAAAGTGGAGTGAGATTATTGTACCGCGCCCTCGTGTTGCAAACGCGTTGAAAAAAGCGAAGAGTTATAGCCCAGCTAGCTACTGCAGAGCAATATGTGAGCCCCACCCAGACCGAGAGAGGGGACAGTGCAGCGCTTTAATTCATTCCCCCCACCTCTCCAGATAACCATCTCTTTGATACCGCAAGTCGCTGTCCGTCAGTTTGTTTAGCAAGATTGTATCACTGAACGAATGCCTACTTTATGATCTGATACCGGCGGTCCCAGACAAAGGAATAGAGGCGGGTTTATCTGCTCAGCCATCCATTTATGCGCATTTGACAGATGTGAAAACAGCAGCTCGGCGGTGCTTCAAGCAATTATGATTGTAAAATGAGATTCTGAGGCAAGCGCCCACTTCATTTGGCAATCTCGTCACCCATTCGGGAACTCGGTCATCACTGACTCAACCACTTATCCATCAAAACATTTCTATCTGATCTTGGTGCCACTCCACGCATCTCCTACTCACCCATTCTTACTAAGGCTATTCAACAAACAATCTAACTTTCCAATTCGGATAAATTGATCAATTTAACCATATTTAATCCTCCCAAGCTTTATCCATTTGGCTAGATATCTAAAATCCGTCCTCCCACCCATGCGAATGCTCATCCAACCATTTCTCAATCCCACTGTCCAATCAACTCAACAAAAAAACCAGGAACCATCATCCATGATGTCAATTTGAGAGGAGTAGTATTTTGAGAATGAGACATAAAAAGTGCCACCACCTTCGTTTTACCATGTTCATATGGGTGGAAAAAGTTGTACCAACACTGCACTACACCATACAAAGTCAGATTCAAAGTATATCCAAGGTTGGTTCATCTAAGCCGCCGATTTATGTCTCCAAAGACTTTCCAAACATATCGAGGCAAAATCCCACCCCAAATAACGCCTTAAAGGTGGTAGATTTGCCCTACCTAGCTACGTCGAGAATACTCAGTGTCCCAATCCACCATGCCCTCTTCATACAAGCCAGATTTCTACCAGAAATTTTTCGCTTGGTAATCAGGTTATCTGGCGGCATTAGAATGCACTGTCCCTGCAGCGAAAGGATGGAGATTCTGTCGGCTGATTGCTCCGCCAAGGTATCAAATCGTAATGTCCAATCGTGGTACATCAGCAAAACCTAACTCAGTTACCACCTTCTGATGCCCGGATGACGGAACGGCCTGTAAAATAGTCCAATTTGAAAGTGCTACGCTGCCTACTGGGCTTCTAAAAGCGGAGCAAACAGCTTTTACCGATAGTGTAGAAGGAAACGGAAAGTTGGGAATAAATTGCAAGGAAATTGCGATTTTATAGCCTTCAAAGGGCGAAAACAATAGAGCCGACAGCACAAAGCCGTCTATACAATGTGAAGCCATGGTAAATTCAAAAGGTTACCAAGCAATGAGTAAGTGGGATGAAAGTTCAAGTGACAACAGTGAATGTGGCGCCTATCATAAATAAACTGTTCTTAACACTAAAAAGCATCAGCAAATGTCCCTGGGATGACTACTTTATGAGATAGAACAATGCGAGTTTACTTTTATCCCCTCAACACATCGTAACATAAACACGGCAGCCCGACTTTTACGTCGGGGGCCTCACGACACGCAAATGAAACGAATTAGGTTGGAGGAGGTGAACTAGCTTAATGGTGCTATGTTGGCATCACAAAACATTTGGAACATGGAGGTGTTAATAAAGCCTAGTACATCAAAAATTAGCCTTGGGCTGGGCCGATTCAACATCGGAGCGAATAGTCAGAATCGAAGAGACGCCAACTCGAAGTGCTGAGAGAGGAGTACAACTACACTGGAAAGTGGACTTGGGAAGAGGCGATAGTTGATGAGGAGATGTAAAATCAGACTAGCAATTCAACTGTTTACATTGGGGAAGGGAGCTAACATCTAATGACAATCATACTGGGGGTTACAATAACCCTCCCACATCAAACAAGTTCAAAATGTGGCACCAATTAATTAACCACCAAGTCAAATCAAACAAAACCAAAGCATTGGTTAGATTCGACGCATAAATGAAATCAAACAACTCAAAAATTTCAACCAAAGGAAGACAACCTAGACGACTAGTTGACTCGAAGTGGGGAGGAGCTTTTATGGATTATCAAAAAGAAAAAAATAAGTTTGAACATTAATGGAATAAATGACCGGAAGGGAAGTCGACACGGACTAACCATCCACAGGAAGTTGTTGACATGAAGAAGAACCGAGTTGCCACTGTACAAAGGGTTAGCCCAATTCAAAACTGGAGGAAGTTCAGCAAAACCAAAACGATCGTGTTTTTTCCTCAACTCATGAATGAGACCGATAAATGACAGAAAATTTGCCAACGAACAGCAAGTAGGATTTGGGTACAGTTCTGTGGGAGAGGCATTGACACCAAGAACATAAAATTCGCATTTAAAAGACCACAACAGATGCAAAGGCTTTGGCATCAAATTACACGAGAAATAGGCCTTTTATAGGGATTTACAAGAGATTTAACGAGGTGACGAATGTTCAATTGATGGCATTAAAGTTAAGTGAATAGTGAATCTTGAAATAATGACTCTGACGAGTTCTTCTCCGTTATTTTCATGCAAAAGGGCATCTAATTCTCCAAAAGTCAACCTTTGGTAAGTTAGGTATTTGAAATGACAACCCAAAAAGCATCTAGAAGTCGAACGGTAGCAAGATGCGAGCCCGATTCGAAGAAAAATGCTGACGTCTGAACATGAAGGAACAACGAGGAAAGTAAGAGGTGACCATTCGTAGAATGGACCACTAAAACCAAATTTATCAAGTTGGTAAATATGCAATTGGAGGAATCGCGTAAATAACTTCCTACAGCAGCCACGTTCAAGTCAGGAAGGGACGGCTTATTTTAAAGACACGAGATGCTGGATTGAGCAGCATCATTTCCAGAGGTGCGAGTATCCAATCGTGTACAGCAATGGCCAGTGCGCATCTCTTCGCCCGGTTCACATACCATTAATCACACCGGCAGGCAACATTCCTGGTAATGGTAATGAATGAAGATGTCGTTACCGCGGATCTCTACATGTACGAAGACCTCAGGTCCAAGTACGGTGACAGAAAGATCAGCACTATTAGGACGTTGGATCAGTCGAAACCTCTTGAGGACAAATGGACATTTGACTGATGATCCCAGCAAGGACAGATTCGTTCCCGACCTACATCACATCGGTCCTTCCTGTGAATATGGAGGGCGTGGAAACCCTGGTACTGGATAGTGGACAGATAACCAGTGGCGAAAGTGTGAGAGGCGTATTGTCTTGTGGGAAAAGTGGGCGAAGCACAACCATTCAAGAAGTTTCAGTTGCAAGGAGACGGTGCGCGCTGGACATCAAGACAAAGGGTGGTAAGCTGCCCTAAAACGTTCCAGCGGTACCAGCTAATTCTTCCGTCCAGGCGCTAGCTCAACACCTAAAAAAATTTACGAGTGCAGGCAGGGACCAGATCAAAAAATAAGTACAATCTTTGTTTGCTGAAGTTCGTTCATCGTGAACCCAAGTGTCCCAGTTTGAATTTAGCACTCTTAGTAACGCCAAAGCAGATCAAATAGCAAATATACCGCTAAAAACACCTTCGACCGGGGTGTAAGCCACACCACTCCAGCTGACTTCACCCTTTGCCCACTTTGACGAACCAACAAAAGGCCAAAAGACGTTTGAATGGTTAAGCGATAGTCAGTACAAGCCCAATTATACGGACGATGAAATGGGTGGCATCAAACGGCTCTCCGAGTAGATCGATTCGATTCCTATGACTTCGAAGTGGTAACAAGGGATAAAGAGGCAATTTAAATCGTCAAGATACTTCCAAGAGATCATGCAATAGACCAGAAAACAATGTTGGTAGTAGCTATGTTTACGAAATAGTATCACTGCCGAAAGTTGACGTTTTGGTGCAAAAAAAGGAAATAGCTACAGATAAGCTTCCCTTTGGCAAAATATTTTAAACGATTCTGCAACGCAAGATGGCACACTAACAGTGGAATAAATGACACCGCAAATAACCAATAATGTACTCCAGGCTTGAAATCTACCAAAGCTAGGGTACCTCTAAGTGATGACAGAAAACGGGAATTCAAGTATACATCCTCGGTAGAAGGGAGTGTGGCAGTTATGCCCCGAGAATAGTGTTAATGCCAAAGCGTAATGTCTAGTACGTTGTGCATGGTCACCAGGAGGGAAAGGAGAGGCAAAACTGGAATGCACCGGTGACTAAGTTAACAAGAGACCAAAGCTGCTTAACACAGGCACTGAAAGTGAACAATTATTGGTGCATTTTACCCAGCACAAGGAAATGCCATTTCGTTTGGTAATTGTAGAGTGGAGTCGAAAATCAAGTCTACTACGGTAAAAAGGCGGGGTGACTAATATGGTGTCTGCTGGTGCCACTATAAAAAGGAAAAAAAAATGCAAACATCACAAGCTTCGAGTAATCAAAAGTGGTAATAAAACACTAGTTCATGAATGGATCGTGCAGTCTGAGTAAGTTTGGGAAGCAGATTTGGGTGTGTGATATAAAGGTCTCGTAGAAGGAAGATAGGGGCAGAACAAAATGCATGACACACATTTATGAAGGCAAGAAACTCACAAAGAAACATCAGCTGAGTAGCCACCATAGTCGAACTTCATGCGATATAGGTGCGCCCAACTGGAGTAGGTGAGACAAAATAGGAAAGATGTCCAGAAGGCCCGTTTAGGCGAGAAGATATGTAGCAAGAGATAGACGGTTGAAGACATGGCGAGAAGGTGACCACTTCGTCTGAAGTTAAACAGGTCCAGCAGTTGAGTTGACAAGAAAACGAATCAAAGCGACAATACGCACAGAAGTCAACTTACACTCCATAACAGAGGAAGGCGATCAAATAACCGACACAGAACGAGAGAGTGTGTCGGGTTGTGGGTGAGCATTTACGGGGATTGCAAAACTTGTGAAAGAAAAACCCAAATACACAGCATGTTACCATGCATGCTAGAAAAATGACCTAAAACGAATGACTACAAAATTACCAAATTACTTTGTCCGCACGCACTGGGCTTTGCACATCTTCCACTTTCCAATCGTTACCTACGTTGACCTCCATTGGGCAGAGTTTGATTCAAGGTAAAGGGAATAATAAATACAACGAGATAAGTGCGCGGACTCCCATGTGACAAACCCGACCTTTAAGGGTGTTTTAATTAACTGATCTGACTTAAATCAAATAATATGCCTGTGTAGAAAAGAAGATAGACGGAAAGGAATATAAGGTGTTTTACAACATTAAACAAAAGTTATCGTGCATACCATCTGCTAGTTATATGCACAAGGAAACTAAAGCAGCTGTCATATTTACATTATCATGCCAAACATCTCTATTTCAATTGCCTTGTTTACCCACAAATAAAATTGTTTCGGCAGGAGCTTAACAAACTGGTAAAACAGCAATTTTAGTTAATATGCAAAAGAAAGTCAAAAAACAATTTTCTGCCCCACTATGCCTTTAGTATTAGCAGCTTGTTTGCCATTAAATACGCAAAGTTTTTCTCACTTGTTAACACAACTTTTAAAGTTATGTCACATTCTTCTAAAAATTAATGTCCCGACCTCAAGACGACTGAGATACCGCCAAGCAAAGGCCAGTAAATCTTGGCCATAATAGGATGTTACTAACAGTTTTTGCAAACACAAATATGACGCTAATCTATCAAAAGATAACAAAGCAACTGCAAGGTAGGTCCAAACCCACTTTTGTTATTGGATCACATTCTTCACCGTTCGATTAGTTACAAGAAAATTCAGCATTTATTTGGGTTTTAATAGTAACGTTAATTCTCATGCAGACACTACATTTGCTTGACCATGGTGCATGCTAGCAATGGCTGCATATCACATGGTATTTGTTTGTGTCTCTTGATAAATTAGGATATGTAGGCCTTGCAACAGCGGCTAAAGTGAGTTTATCTGGCGGGGGTACTGTGTTGGCGCTTTCGGGATGTTGGTCTGCTGAAAAACATGCCTTCACTTTGTGATTATTTCATAACTAACGCGTGCAACGCAAAATTCCTAATTTCTAGTCTAATTGGGGCCTACGTGGCCTACTATTTCTTTGTTGCTCGTTCGGTACATTTGACCTTCTTTCGTCTCATTACCCGTTTATCTAGTCTCCTGTTTTGTATGGTCACTCTCGGAAACTCGTGGATTTCTTCCATTCATACGTTCCTTTCCTTAATGAAGTCTACTCACCTTTTGTTTTTGGTTTCACTGGTCGAGTGCAGACGATACTGAGACCCATATTCCATCGCGTTGAAAAGGTAAACTACGAAAAGTAAGGCTTTGATTTTTACGTCTTATTATCCGTTAGAGAGGTCATAAGCTTTTCAGATGGTGGGGATATGACACTTTCGTGGAGTAACATTGAAGGAATGGCGGATGACACACCGATCGTTGCTCTACTGCCCGGTCTAGCTGGTTGTGGTTGCTGCCACTACATTGCCAGCATTGTTAAGGAGATCAATCGATGCAAATACAGGTGAGAACTCTGTTCTCATTACTAGCCTCTTCTAGGTGTGTTATTTTAAACAATCGCGGGGGCTGTCGTCGCAAGTTGAAGGTGAGTACTACTAGATTTGACGTTTTCGTTGGATGTAGACGCCTCGAA